ACACAGGTTGAAAATCACTGCCCTACATACATGTAAGGTATTGGGCATGCTTTACACAGTGGGTACCTAAACAAGGTGCTTGATTGGTTGTCACTACTTAGCTATCCATTAAAAGCATGTATGTTCATAATCGGGGGACTAGACTCTGTCAAGGCCTTAGCGGATGATGAGTTTTTCATTGAGACTATATTTCTGATGTTTTCTTACCACTTATCCTACTTTTTTCTCATATTTATTTTTTCATTCTAACAGCAGGAAGATGTTTGGAAGCCAGAAAGGAAAAGATTGATAAGCTGGACTTCATAAAAATAAAAAGTTTTAGTAGACTAGAAAATACCATAAACTAAATTAGAAGGCCAATTACATAATGGGGAAAATGGTTGCAACCAGTATTATAATATATAAATATTTAGTTCACTATTAGTGATTACTGTGAAAAGGGCACACACCAGTTAAAAATAGGCAGAGGTCCCAAGCAAGCATTTTACAAAAGAAAACTGAATAGCAAGCAAACACATACACAAGTTGAGTCTGGACCCAAAGAGAGTGTTGTCATTCTATATACTGTGTATTGATGAGGATATAAGGAAATTGAAAGATAATTAAGGGTGTAACAACGATTTAGTTACAAAAATGTTTATAGCAGTGTTGTTCCTAAGCATGAAGAAACAATCTGTGTTCCAACAGCAGGGGATTGGTTAAATACATTTCAATTTACCCATACAAAGTCAGCACTTAAACACTATGATGTAAATAGACGTGCTTCCCTTTTTTATCAATACGAAAAGAGCAATATTGAAAACTGCATACTTGGTACTTTGTAATAAAAGAACATGTGTGATATCTTGTTTTTATTAAATGCATACAGTCTATATGTAGAAACTATCTAAGATGTATGTAAAACTGGAAGAGGGCTTATCCCGAGGCAGTGGAATTGTGGGCAGTTTCAAAATTTGTGTTCATCTTCTCTTTCTGATCCACTTCTTTCTCCTGCTCCGCTTCCTTCTCCTCATCTTTTTCCTTCTCCTATGTTTTCCAAATATTTTGTAATGATCATAAATTATTTGGGTAATCTTTAAGGACTCAAAAAAACAATACAACATTTCAGAAATTCAGGGGGGAGTCACCTACCCTACAATATAAAATTACAGTTTTTTCATGGTTCCCCCCCTATATATCTGTTTGTAACATAGTTGTAATAATAGTGATATACCAATTTTATATACATTACTCTTATCACTTTTAAACATTTTTCTCTGTTACGACATAGTCTCCACAATTTCATTTTACATGACTGATGTTTCGTGGAGTGGTTTCTCACTCTTTAGTAGGAAGTTTGAAATGTGAGACAAATGTCAGCAAGGTTTTTGCTTTCTTTTCTGGAAACCTTTCTTCAAACTCGAGCCATCAACAGCAGCTGAAAGAGTGGCGGTGACCTAAGGAGGCCTGAGCAGACCGGCTCCTTTGGTCCGTGCTGCCAGACAGATCCATCAGAGTGGAACGCTTGGCTCAATTTTATCACAGCCTTTTTTACAAACAGCAACAACAGCAAATATTAACCACAGAGAGTTTGTGAGCGAGGTGAAATGCTTCATAGAACAAAGTCATAAAAAATATAAAATATATCTAATTCATAAATGCTAATATATTTGTCACCTTCATCTAAGCTCTCTCGTAGGATTTCAGAAAACTGTTTTCTCACAGTGGCCATTTTATTCGAGGAAAGTTGCAGCCTCTGGTCCTTAAGCCCTTTTGCCATTAGAAAAAAAGGCATTCACTGAGGAAAAAAGAAAAGAAAAATCTGCTGCAGGGAACTCAAGGTTAAACTTTCCCTTAAACTAACCCATTCAAAGCTATTCTGTTGTTGAGTTCGTTTGGCCTAATGTTCTAGGGCTACATTCACAGACGCTGTTTTTCCCTTTACAGACCAATAATGCCCTTTCTCGTAAGTCGCCACATTCTTGAGGGTCTGTGTACTTACTTGATTTCTTCCTCATTGTGTGTAAACAGGACATTAAAGTTGAAACAAAATTTAATTTCCCCTTAGGTCCTAAAGCTGACTTCCTTTATCCATTTACCTATTTGTTTCCCTAAATGTAACCTTGGGATCCCTGAGGCAGGTTTTCCTTTTCTTTCCCTTTTTCCTCAGGGAACATCTCTTTCTAATGGCCAGAGGGCGTAGAAGCTGCAACTTGGCTCAAATCAAAATGGTCGCTTTATAGCTGCCTGAGTGGGTTCTTTGCTGCTCCCTTGAGTGTCAGACATACTGATCCCAATCTTCTCAATCAAACTCCAGGACATGCAGTATCAAGTGTCACAGCAGCCACAAGTTCATTATCTCCTCGGAGTGCAATTACTTTGCAGCCCCCAAGACTGTGGGGTTTTTGTGGGCCCCCAAAGAACTCATATCCTGAAGAGAGAGACTAATCATGGCGGGTCCTCTTGGCAGGGACATCGAAAGGGTGGACTAGGATTGATAGGAGTTTTAATTTGTGAGGACTTAATCTGATCTGCTTTTGGAACAAGATGTGTAGATGTACTTATTGTCCATTTTCTCTGTGCATCCTTTGAAGACTCATTTGATTCTGTGATGATAGTATTGTCATAAGGACACAGAACTTTATTACATGAATCTGCCTCTGTCCTTCACCTGCCTGGCTATCCAGTGCTACTCTGAGGATTTATTCAGCCTGCATTATGGTAAGGGGAAGGATGACTAATGTCTCAAATGGTGCAGTGTTTAGTAATCTGATCTTCTGCCCACCGGAAGTTCCTTTTGGGGAAGGCAGATACTGAGTTTCTCAGGAAGCAGTTTCTTAGGATGCAGCAAGAAATGGCGCCGGTCAGCCCTTCAGGTGACCAGGCTTTGGTTGCTAGGACTCAGTGGCAGTGCTGTAGGTGATGGTAAGTAAGGGCCAGGTCCTGACTGACTGATGCAGCAAAGCCAGCGACAGGACTGTATAATCAAGACAAACCAGACACGGCACAGCGTTTGTCTGCACTCTCCTTCCCTGTGCCTCCTGCCAAGGAAAGGAGCACTGGGCAGGAGGCTGGCATCAGGGGACAAGGCTGCCTCCCCTTGCCTAACTGGGTCAGAGCCCTTGAGCACTTTTCCGGGCATCTTCTTTGAGGGCGAGCATGCTGGGCCATGTCAGGATGAGCTGGCCTTGCCGTCTGTCAGAGGTGAGGAGCAGGACTGGGCGTAGATGACCTCAGCAGCGCAGTTGTGTTTTCAAGTTAAATAATGTCCTGTGTCACACCACTTAGCTTACAAAATTAGGCTTACCATCATGTTGCTTTTAAGTATTTAAAACTGTCTTGCTTTTAGAGTAGCAGTTCTCAGAGTATGTATGGTCTGAGGACGCCTGTGGGTCCCTGGGACCATTTTAGGGGGTCTGCAGGGTCTTCCCTTCTCCAGCAACATGTCTGTCTGAGGTCAGGTTTTCTCCATCTGTTTCAACCTGAACAGCAGATTGCAGCAGATTGAACACAGAAGGCAGATACAAGAACTCAGCTGTCTGCCGCAAAGCCAGACATCACACTGTAAAACAATACCACTTTTCTAACTGAAGTTTGTTTTGGAAGATACAATTATTTTTTCCTAAAAATACATTATTTATATTTGTTTTTATGTTTTGTACTCTTATTTTTATATGCATTAACATTTTAAACTTTTTGTTTTGAGTATTATTACAGTAAATATCAGAATTTATAACCCACACAAACCGCTTTCAGGTTCTCCACGTACAGTCTCGCCCCTGGGGCCAAGGATTTTGAGAACCGCTGCACAAGAGGCCCCCCTTCAGGGGAGTACCTACATCGTCTCCCTTCCCCTTGGCTCAGTGCAGTGAGAAATGATATCTCACAGACCTGGATTTGCACAAACACTTTCAGAGAAAATTGTCTCTTGTCTGGTATACGGTGGGTGCCAGGTGGGGAAGGTGACAGCGGCAGTGGTCGTCGGTAGTTGCTGGAGTCCTCGGATGTGCAGGTGCGCGCCGTGCCCCTTGGGGGTGCACGTTGTGCTCCGCACTTGCTCCCTGGCCCAGTCTTGTTTTATCACCCACACTTTAGTCTCAGGCAAAGCCCCTTGCCCCCGTTCAAGTTTGTTGGAAGTGTGTGCCTCAAGGGGAAGTTGTATTGTCCTGTTGGAACCTGAGATACAGGTTAATCTTCCTAAGAGGAACAGGCAGATTTCTACCCAGGCTACCGAATGACACCGCGCTCCTCCTTGCAGCTGAGCTCTCAGCCTGGGGCGCAGCTTGGCTGTCTCTCTGCAGCCTGCTCTCTGGAGGGGTCCAACAGCCTCAGAGGCGAGGATGTTGCTGTCTCAGTCTTCCAGTTCTGCCTGCCCCTCATGGGAGATCCCCCTAGGAAGGCAAGGACTGTGTTAGCACTTGATTCACATAATATCATCTGCAAATGAGTGCCTACTTGGGAATGATGGCATGGCCTCCTCAGGATTTCCCTACCAGCTTGTTGGTTATTCTAGAATAGAGAGGAAGGAAGAAGAACAGCCAGTGATGCTGAGAAGGTGGGTAGGGTAAGAATGGAACTGGTGTCCTTGCCCTTCTGACCATGGAGATTAATCCCCTCAGCGTGGCTGTATGAACGAGACACATTTTCACCTGCCTTCTAGGGCCCTCCGCTCCTCTTCAGTGAGCAGCCTGGACGGTGTCGCCACACAGGACCTGCTAGCAGCCTGAAGTCCAAGTCCTGGCTCTGAGCCTCACCTGGGTGACTGGGCACGTTACTTCGTTACTTTGAGTAACTAAGGTTACTCTGAGTGCCCCAGGTTTTTAATTGGTAAAAACATAGCCATGCCTGTCCTGTCTGCTTCACAGAATTGCTACTAAGACCTAGATTAAGTGAGATTGTAGATGAGAAAGTGAAAAACATGTACAAATACTAGTTTTGTAAAAGGCTTCTTTATAGCCAGTAGGGTTTCTGCTCTTTGACCCTTGCCCTCTGGACTCATGAGCTTCTATGCCTTCCTCCAGGTTACCTGTACATGACCGATGAGTGGTTTTCTGAGTATGTTTACGAAGTGGTGGTGGACAAGAAATATGTCCCTGAAGAGGTGCTAGCTGTGTTCGAGCAGGAAGCCATTGTCCTGCCAGCCTGGGACCCCATGGGGGCTTTGGCCAAGTGATATTGCCTCCAGTTCTTTCCTCCTCCCGTGGAACCTGAAGTCGCTGCAAAGGACAGGTCCAGGAACTGAAGCCAAAGTTACACAGGTGACTGTGTGTGCCCACAGGACACAGTCAGACTCTTGGAGTTCTACTCCAGGAACCTCTCAGAGAAGTGTGCTTTATGTTGAAACAAAATATTCTTAAAATAAAAGGGAAAGGCCGGGTCATATTATCTCTTCTCCTCACCTCCAGCAGCTCAGGATCTCTTAGTGTTTTAATCAGATGTAATTGTTTGTCTTAACTCTCAAAAAGGTTTGGTTCAAGCGATTTAGTATGGAGAGAAAACAAACCTAATGCTCCTTGTCCCTAGAGTAGAGTTGGGGGAGGGTTACCCTAAGATTTGACCTCTCAAAACTGCATGCTGCCTGGCAGTACACACTGTCCTTCCTAGATGGCAGTCACTGAATTCAGTTTTTTCAAGGCGATTTTATGTGCCTCGAATAGCCCAGGAATGGGAGGTTGATCAAGTCTGACGTGATTCCTTCCTCTTGTTTTGAACTGGGGGGAGCATAGCTCTACTTGAGTCGGGGTTAAGTAGAGACTCAGAGAAACTTGGGTGAGAGATCAACCAAAACTTTATCATAATCTGAATTATAATTACCAGGAGGCGCTCTGGCCAAATGGTTTTAACTTCGGCCTCTGAAATTGGGAGTTGGGTGGGCAGGGAAAGGTGATACCCATTCTTTCTGACAACTAGATGGTGCTGAGAAGCTTTTAAATAAAACACTTTGCTAAATGAGCGTAAGTTGGCTTATTTGGTCTAAGAAATGTTTCTTTTTTTAATTTTATTTTTTTATTTATAAATCATGTTAATTCTACTACACTTGTCTCAATTTTTCCCCCTTTACCCCCCTCCACCCATCCCACCCCCATCCCCCGCTCCCACAGTCAATTCCCACTCTGTTGCCCATGCCCATGGGTCATTCATACACGTTCTTTGTCTAATCCCTTCCCCTTCTTTCCACCACTGTCCTCTTTCCTCCTCCCCTCTGGAGAAATGTTTCTTTATTTAGCTACAAAGGAAGACAACCAAGTGACTCACGTTCTACAAAGTGAAAAAAGAGCAAGACGGTTCAGGGCTCTCTTGCTTCATCTAGTTTCTAGGGTGTGTGATCCTTCCCAGCCTGTGCTGATCCTCACTACCCTCGGCAAGGGCTTCCGAGCACCATAATTAAGAGCGCTTGTGTCCCTGCCAGTTAACCATTTTTTATCCTCAACTGAAGATATGTTTGATTGTTTTTTTATTTGTTTGTTTTAATTGATTTTAAAGAGAGGAAGAGAGAGAGAAACATCAGTCTGTTTCCATACACGTCCCAACTGGGAATCGAATCCACACCCTTTTGGTACAGGATGACACTCCAACCAGCGGAGCCACCGGCCAGGGCAACCATTCTTGCACCCAGATCCAGGGTCCCTACAAGGGTGGGAAGGGTTCAGCCTTAGAGTGTGCTGGAGACTATGTATTTTACTGAGACTGGGCCTTCCTTTTGCAGAAAGCAAGTAAGTATAGCTTCCTAATGAGTGTTTCCATCAGCGCCTGAGCCCTCTGTCTTTCTGGCTGTCCAAGAATCTTCTCAGTCCCAGCAGTGCATATTGTCAAACAGTACTTTCCAAGATAACATTAGATAAAGGCTCAGGCTTTAATCAAAGTATTACAATACTCTAGTAATCCTGTCCCAAGCAGGATAAGTAAGTCGATTTCTAGACACATCATGGCAAAACCTTAGAACACATCTTAGAAGCATGCAGGAAAAAGACAGGTTGCCTCCAAAGAAAAGACGATTAGATTGACAACCCAGCTTCTCATCAACAACTATGTAAGCCAGAAGACAATGAAATGTACCTTCGAAGTGCTATGAAAAGGTAAGTGTGCATCTAGAACTCTATTCAATGAAACTGTCAAGAACAAGAATGAAAAAAGACATTTGTACTCAAAAACTGTTGGCAGCACCCATGCCTTTCCGCACCCCCTTCTTTCCCCAGGGCATGCTCCCTCCCTCCCCACTCAAACCAAACCTGTTCCTCTTTCCTCTCTCCCTCTCTCTTCCCCCCTCCCTGACTTCTCCCTCTCTCACTCCCTCTCTGGCTCTACACTTAAGCTCCAAAGTTACTTTTTTCCTGAGCCCATTTCTATGTGCTCACTTTTTCTACCTCTGACTTTCTAAATAAACTTTCTCTTACAATTTGGGCAAAAAATAATAGTAATAATAACTTCCCCAAACAAAAGGGAAATGATCCCATATGGAAGGTCTGAAATGTAGGTAAAAGAAAGTGATAAATACATGCATCATCTAAACAAAGTGACTGTGGGTGAATCCTATAGAGTTCAAAACAAGATAAAACTAAAGTATGTGAAAACAGATAATTAGGGAGGTAATTGGAATAAACATTCTAATGTCCTGTCATTCTGGAAGGCAATAAGTATATTGATTAAATTTTGACTTCAGTATGTTCATTATATGTGCTAAAAATTTCTAGATTAACTACTGAAAAATAGAGGATGTAGTTTCCAAGCAAGAATATAATCAATGTGTAAAAAGACAAGATAGGGGAGAGAAAGAAAAATGTAGGACAAATAGTGTGTCCAAAATAAGATAGTAGAAATAATATAAATATGTCAGTAAATACTGTATGTGTGTATGAATGGGTTATGTTTCAGAAAAAAGACAGTTGGTCAAACTGGATTTTTAAAAGAAACTCAGCCATAAGCAAACAAGAGACATCAGCAATTTAGGATATAATGAAGGATAAGAAAGATTTATCAGGCATAAACTAACCAAATTAAATCTGGTATAACTATACTAATACCCAGCAAAACTAAGGCCACTCTGAATAACCCAATAGACTAAGCGCAGGGTGTTGTTATTCACAGCCTTCCTGGATTTGTACAACACAGTGGCCCTGGAAATAGGCTTTCAAGTAAAAAACATTACTAGAGATAATCACTACATAATTTACGTATTTACTTGATTCTCCAGAAAAATAATAAAGGTTTTTTTGGCATTTTAAAAAGTCTGTTCAAGTACAGTTGTCTCCATTTTCCTGCCATCACTTTCCCATGCCCCACCCACCCCACCTCCCACCCTCAGTACTTCCCCCCTTTGGCTTTGTCCATGGGTCCTTTATACATGTCCCTTGACAACCTTTCCCCTTCTTTCCCTGTTATCCCCCTTCCCCTACCCCTCTGGTTACTGTCAGTTTGTTCTTTATTTCAATGTCTTGGGTTATATTTTGCTTGCTTGTTTTGTTGATTAGGTGCCACCTATAGGTGAGATCATATGGTATTTGTCTTTTACCGCCTGGCTTGTTTCACTTAGCGTAATGCTCCCCAGTTCCATCCATGCTTTGCGAAGGGTAGTAGCTCGCTCTTTCTGCTGCGTAGTATTCCATTGTGTAAATGTCCCACAGTTTTTTGATCCACTCATTTACTGATGGGCACTTAGGTTGCTTCCAGCACTTGGCTATTGTAAATTGTACTGCTATGAACATTGGGGTGCATGGGTTCTTTTGAATTGGTATTTCAGGATTCTTAGGGTATAATCCCAGCAGTGGAATTGTTACCAGCAGTGGAATTACTCTAAAGATTCTTAATTAGTATATGTCTACTAATGCTACCTCAGAATACATAAAACAAAAGCTGACAACTATATGGAAAAAAAATATTATAATGGAATATTTTAACATCTCAGTTATTCAGAGGTCAAAACTGTGAGTGTAGAAAAGATTTAAACATTTAATAATTTTGGTATAACGGACATCTATAGAACATGGTGTCTAACAACTGTACATTCTTTTTGAATACATGGCACTTTTTCAAAAATTGACCACATACTGGGCAATCGAGTGTTTTAGCTGTCTAAATTTCAGGGATTTTTAGGCAGTGCAAACTATACAATGCAATTAACTTAGAAACCAAAATGAAAAGATAACTAGAAGACCTATTTATGTTTAGAAATAACTCATAGGTCCCAGAAGAAATTATGAAGAAAATTTAGCCCTGGCCAGTGTGGCTCAGTTGGAGCATCATCCTGTACACCAAAATGCTGGGGGTTTGATTCCTGGTCAGCACATACCAAGGTTGGGAGATCAATCCCCAGCTGGAATGCATACAGTAGGCAACCAACTGATCAATGTTACTCTCTGACATTGATGTTTCTCTCTACATCCTTCCACTCTCTTGAAAATCAGTAAACATATTTTTAAAAAATTTAATCTGAACAATAATAAAAATACTATGTATCAAAGTGAGAGAGACAGCTAAAACAGTAAATTATATTTTTTATATTTATTAAATGTAAGAAAGACTGAAAACTGAGCTAAGCAACTGTTTCAGGAACTTAGAACAGCAAAATGAACTTGAAATAGGTAATAAGATGTGCTGAAATTAAACAGGATCAGCAAAGCCACAGGTTGGGTCTTTTAAAAAAATGAAGTAGATTAACGTTAGCAAGACTGATCAAAAAACACAAAAATTTAAAAGGACATGATTATAGAGGCAGATATTTGAGAAATAGGAGACACTTGACTGTCAAAAGCGACAATAAAGGGATTTGTTTAGAAGATAAGTCCACAGCTTGGCAGGAACAGCAAAGGAGAAGCAATGAGCTAGAAAGCAGATAGAGGTGTTGAAAGATTTAGCAGAGCTGAAAAAGTTGAATCCTGAGCCAGTGATAAACCAATTTATAGTGCATAATCCCCAAAAAGCTCAGATAGGATAGAGCCAGGTAGACTTACTCTGGAAAGTGGGAGTGAAAGGAGGGTTACTAAAGGATTGAATGTCTGTTAGAGCCCCTCCCTCCTTTGTGCAGCCAGGTGACTCCCTCCCCTTGCTCAGCAGCCAACTCAAGATTTATTTTCGAGAGAGAAAAAGTTTACGGTCTGGAGGGCAGAAACCTGGCTGGGGGTGAGGAGGGAGTATTTGCGTTATGAACATTCTCCACCACATTGGAACTCTAGTGGCCAGAAGGTTGGGAGTCTTCTCTAGGATATCTCAATTAAGCCTAGAGGAAATATGCAAAGAACTATTTTATGGTATAAAGAGTTATTTTATGAGGCTGCCGTGACCCTAACAAGGGGAGCAACAGAAAAAATTACACATCTCACCCATAAACATAGGTGCAAAACTATATTTTTAATATAGTTTTATGAAATATATAAAAAGCTAATCTTCATAACCAAATATTTAATAAAAACTATTTCTCAAACAAAATTGGGATCCAACGGGGAGAAACAAAAAACGGATATGTCTTCTGAAGACAAAGGGAAATGGGTCAAAGTTTTCACCAGAGATCTGAACTGAAAGGGTAATATTTGGGTGACTGGTTGAGCGCAGCAATGGGAAGATGTGAACTGTATTCTATAACTCTTTGGAGTGATACTCTGACTTCTGGGAAGTCCTCGCCAGCCCCAGGGCTCCTCTGGAGACATGTAGAGTCATGCTGACACTTCCCATCCAAGAAGCCAGTGCCTGATAAGGAGGGACGCCTTCGGGATGTGGTTTCTCTGGCTTGCCCTTAAAGAACAGCTGCATTCTAATTTGCTGTTGGCAGGGCCAGGGCACTTGCTCTTGGACTCCCATCCCTCCAGGTGTGTGGTGGGGGTGCACATTGTTCCTGGCTCTGGCCGTAGTCATTGGTTAGGTTGGATTTTTCTCTAAGTAACTCCAGATGAGCACTCTCCTATTTAGGACATCTTGTTCAGAAACACAAAACTGATTGTTCCTCCCTGGAGTCCA